TTCCACCCCCAGAGGAACTTGCTGTGTGTCACGGCAGAAGGGACGAAGCGGCTTCCAATCCAGGTTCACTTGGCTCCCAATTCCACACTTACAACACTTTTGGGCTTGCTTAAGGGAAATTTCCTTGCCCCAGAGATCTACAAGAAGCAGGAACTTTTGAGCGACTTTTCTTTAAGACCCAAAATAGAAGTATGTCACCAACTGTGAGGTCCCTGCTAGGTGACCTTGTTAGATGGGCACCAAGGACGGACTTTGCTTCCCGCACACACAGGATGGTAGGCAGCTGCTCTCCTCATGTGTGTTTTACAGAGCCATAGAGAACAATCCTTCTGCTGCCAGTAATTTTCTTTCCAAAGCTTGGAACACCACATGCTCTTCAGAGACAGCAAAGCTTCCAATGGGAAGGAGCCCTTTTTGGCTGCCCCACCCATCTGCTGTTCAATTTTGTTTATTTGCCTTGGCAAAACATAAAGATTGATTTTGGAAATAAATAAGCAAAATATTTTACTGAACCAAAAGAACTCAGTACCTAGCCATCTGAAAACATTTTTTGTTTAAACATTGCTACAGTGAAAACTCACACACACACACACACACACACACACACACACACACACACACATATACATATACATACATACATACATACATACACACACAAATACATACATACTCATGATCAATAGGCAGCTATAGGATCTGAGAGATGGCTTTGTGCTTAAGAGCATTTGGTACTCTTGCAAAGGAGGTGGATTCAGTTCCCAACATCTACACTGGCCGGTTCACAATCTGTAATTCCAGTTCCAGGGGGTCCAATGCCTTCTGGCCCCCTCGGGCACTGCACAAATGTGGTGCCAATATAGAGAAAGAGGCACACATACAAGTAAAAGATTTTTTTCTTTTGAAGGATGCAACTTTTAAAAGCCGGGTGTGTAATGGTGGCACATGCCAGTAACCCCAGCTACTTGGGAGGAGAATAACAAGTTCTAAGCCGCCTCAAACTGCACAGCAAACTTCAAACTAACCAAAGGACTGGAAATAGCATCTGAATTGCAGGGTTCTCAGACAGCACGTGTGAGGCCCTGGTTTCAAGTTCCACCACTGTCAGTTAAATAAGCAAACAGTAAATAAGTAACTGTAATGACACCTTAGAGTCATTCTGCTTGCAGATTGCTGGGCTGGTTTTAAATGAAAAATTTTTGGGGATGGCATCAGTATCTTGTCAAAGTACTCACAGAAGATTAACAGAGCCTGAGTTGATTCTGGATTCCTGCCCACATGCAGAGAAAACAGGGCCAAAAAGAGACAAAGTAATCTTTGGAGCCCATGCGCACAGGTAGACAGGACACCAGAGTCTAATGTCCTATATTACAAGCCGAGTCCTTTCCCGGGAACACGTCAGCATGGAGCCAGGTGGTTCCCCTGTCTGAAATCTCACGCTTCCTGTTTCCTTACCTATCATGAAATGCACACCTTAAGCAAGACTTCCATGAAGAAAGTATAAACATCTATGAAGTTTTTATCGATACAGAAACATTGCAGTCACCCACAGGCAGCTGCTCTTCTAACATGGTTGGCTCCCCTATGCTGGGACTTCCTACAAATGGAATCACACATACGTAGTTTTCCATTAAGACTTCCTGGAGTTGACATAAGGACTTCCATTCATCCTATCCATGTTGCACACATATCAGCCATCTATTCATTTTTTTGGCTTCTAATAGTGTTCCATTTTGTAACCCTCTACTGCTTTCACCTGGGTTTTCATTTCGGGTATACGAGCCTTTTCTTTAGTTGATGACAATTATGTCCAGTTTTTAGCCAAGTAAAGTTGCTAAGAACATTCTTGCACAAGTCTTTTTGAGGACACATGTCTTCATTTCTCTTGAGTAAATAGTGGAGGTGGAGTAAACAATTCATTGTGTAAGACAGTTGTTCCTTTTTACACACACACACACACACACACACACCCAATGTAGGAGACATCCCTTAGCTGCCATTAGATGGTACTGGTATCTTGTTTTGGTTTTATTTTGTATTTCCTTTGGTAACTGATGAATTTGAGCAATCATGGTGAAGCTGTAATGTGATTCATCAGACCATTTTAAAACCGGGTTTTTTTTTATGATTGACTTGCAGGTACTCTTTATATGCCTTTATAATAGTATACATTATATGTAAACACATTGGGGGAGGTGTGTGTGTGTGTGTGTGTGTGTGTGTGTGTGTACGTGTGTGTGCATGCACTCTTTTCTCTCCTTAGGGAAGTGGAGATACTCCATTTTCTTACCCAAAATGATGCCAAGAACTCTGCTGGCTTGGTGCCTACGATTGTCCTAGAACAGAGTAGGAGCTGAATAAACCCTCAAACAGTCAATGTTGGAACAGAAGAACTAACTGACTTTTAGTCCTGGTAATTTAAACACAGAAATCCTGGTTTAACAACACAGCATAAATGGAAAAAGGAGATGCTAATGTTCTCCTTGAATTATGAAGTGACTGATGCACCCTTTAGTGCAACCCTATCTAGTGTGCTGGGAGTGTCTACCACCTCCAGGTTCTGATGATATTTTTCTGATGGGGAGTCAGAGTATCCGCTTTTGAAGACTTAGGTAGTTAACCTGGCTGATACCCTCTCTCACAGTGGACCTTGAGCCACATTCTTCTTCAGATCTTCAGACACATGGTTATGCTTGTTTCTGCCAACTGCCCCATGGAGGAGGCCTGCTCCCTCTGGGGTATCCTGCCATTCATTCTTGATCCCTCCAAGGGTCTTGGAGGTCCTATCTGCAGCTTCTCATGGGGGTCTACAGTGAATACTAGCCAGCAGCACCCATATTTGGATGGCTTTTTGGCATTGCCAGAACATATTCACTTCCTTATCCATGTCAACCCAAAGACAGCTCTAGCTATAACCCGCTTTGGCTTTTTAGTGTCTAAAGGGAGATACAGAAAAGAGATGATTTGATTTGCTCTGCTCTCCCATCCATGTAGCCCAGAGTTTTCTCAGAAAGATGGCTAAGTGGGTAAAGAGCTTGGTGTGCAACTTCAGGACCAGAGTTGGGATCCCCAGCAACAATATGAAAAGCTGGATGCCCCTTGCCCAAGGCTCAGGGAACACTGAGAAGAGGAAGCAGGAAGAATGCAAACCTGGAGGGTTGGGAGGAGAAATATGTTCTTTTAGACATGGCTATTGCACTTATGAACTCTTACCTGCACAAGATGACGGCAGCCAAGATGGGGACAGGAAGGAGGGAAGGGCCCATAAGGCTCAACCCTTTACTGAGGAGCAATTGGCTGTTGACAGCTGCTATGGGAGAAGAATCTGTAGGAAGTTTTCCATCCGGACTGCCAGCTCCCAAATAACCACACAGAGACTTAATGTTAATTATAAGTGCTCAGTGGATAACTTAGGTTTGTTTCCAACTAGCTCTTACAACTTAAATTAACCCATATTTCTCATCTATCTTCTGCTACTTGGAGGTACTTTTTTTTCAGCAAGGCATGTGCGTCTTGCTTCTCTCCACATCTCCTGGTGACTCCTCGTGACTCCCTCTTTTCCACACTCTTTTTGTCCCCAAGTCACACCTAACCTCTACCTGTCTAGCTATTGACCATTTGGCCCTTTATTAGATCAGTGAGAGCAACAAATATTCACAGAGTACAAAAAGATTGTTCCATAGCAAGAAGCATTCTCCTTTGGGGCTGTGGACACTCATCATGCTCCATTGGATGGCCCCATACCATGTATTATATGGGCAGTGGGCTATGAAAGAAAGAAAGGAAGGGATGATGGAAGGAAGGAGGGATGGAGGAATGGAGGGAGAGAGAGAGGGAGGGGGAGGGAAGGAAGGAGGGAGGGGAGGAGGGCTGGAGGGAAGGAGAGAGGGAGGGGGAGGGAAGGAAGGAGGGAGGGGAGGAGGGGTGGAGGGAAGGAGGGAAGGAAGGAGGGAGGGGAGGAGGGCTGGAGGGAAGGAGGGAGGGAAGGGAGGAGAGGTGTGCTTGGCGGAATTAAGGGGATTTGGAGGAGGGAAATGGGGTGGATATGATATTTAACTGCATATATATATATATATATATATATATATATATGATTTCTGAAAGAGTAAATAAAATAGACACATGAAAGAGACAAAGTAGAGAAAACAGAGACAGAGAAAGAGAAAGACACACACACAGAGAAAGAGACAGAGAGAATAGATTTTTACAATTCAGAAATTACTACATCACAGACATATATGGGTAGTCCCAAATCTGTTGTTTTGCCTATAGTTTCTTTCTCGCCTGAATAACAGGTTATATTGTATGAATGCTCACCCCAAACCATGGTTACTGTATTATTTAACCTTTCACTATTAATTAGATATTTTACCTTCCAATCAGAATTTACATGAAGATCTGGTAGACCTAGCTAGACTGTTACTGTAACAATAATGCAGGTGTGTGGTATATGAATTGGCCTCCATGCCTCATAACTGGTACATTTTAATTTCTGTTGGGGACTTGAAAGGTTACCATGTTCACATGTTGGCCCTGGGAATGCAGAAGAAACTTCCATGGAATCAGAGCTAGACAGACTACTTGAATAGTCTAAAAAGGGCATGGAGGTTATTCTTAAGGCAGAGTTTGTAGAGACAAACTAGTAACATTAATGGCTGTTACTCTATTTACCAGTTCTAGGTGGGAAAGACCAGAGACATAATTCTATTAGTTATGTAGAAGATAGTATTCTATGAGTTAATGTGATATTACATAGTACTTTAAATTAATGATTTTGTGGAAGCAAAAATTCTCCTGGCTTATGTGTAGATAAATGAATGGGATTTAAAAAAAAGTTCACACACTAAGGGATGAGGGTGGGACTTTTTCAAATATGTTTCATAGAAACTGTTACATACCTCAGCTCTGCCATTTTAAGTTAAAATGAATATATATGCTCTGTGTAAAGCAAAGGCATTTTATTAATCAGGTATTATGCTCAATCTTATCTTCTTTCATAGGACCAGCAGAAATCCACCAATGTGGTCTACCAGGCTCATCATGTGAGCAGGAATAAGAGAGGACAGGTGGTTGGGACCAGGGGAGGATTCCGAGGATGTACCGTGTGGCTAACAGGTATACACGAGCGCGTGCATACACACACACACACACACACACACACACACACACACACACACTTTTCCAGGTACCATTTTAAGATAGAAAATTGGTGTTTGACATGATTTTAAGGAACCCGGTGTGACATATTACACCTAGTAAATGTTTATTTGAGGCTTAACGAAGTGGACTGAAGAGCTGTGTAGATGCCTGGCTGTCAGTCATCACTCTGCTATCCACAAGAGCCAGAGTCTGATGGGCTGTGGGAGGTTACTAGCTAACAGTTACTATTCTTTGGTAGCACAAGATGAGACAAGCCAATAACACCACCTTCTTTTAGCTCTAAGGAGCTGCTCATATTCACCCCTAAACCCATTTCCTGCCATGACAAAACGGCTTTTCCCAATTCAACCATTGGTATTTGGCAGTCTGTCAGGTTACGGATGTTTTAAGCTAGTGTTCTGATATCTTACCGTTCTGGGGGCCTGTTCCACTAGCAAACCGAATCTGTATGAGAAGAATAGCTAGAACTCTCACCATGGCTGAGGGTTGTCTTCTGCCTGAAGAAACAACTTGCTGTCATTGAGATGACCCAGTGAATGTCCCCTTTCTTGCCCTTTTCAAAAGTACACATGTCCCAAAGTTAGAGATTAGTGACAAACTTGCAATTAGGCCTGAAAAACCCCTACCACCCTATGTCTGAGTTCTTACATAGATGGATGGATGGATGGATGGATGGATGGATGGATGGATGGATGGATGGATGACATAGCCAGGCTTCAGAAAGTGACAGGTTTCAGATCGAGAAAGCCAGGTTCACTTCATAGACAGGACTTTCCAAAAAGGGAAGAAATTAGAGACAAAAACATGTTTGTTCAGGCTGTGAGAGAGGCATGTGTGCTCATTTCTGCTCACACAGGCAAAGTCTAACCAAGAATGTGGATGGAGCTGCAAGACCTCCCTGAATTTCTCCTATTTGCTGAATTTCTTCTAGTTGCTGTTTGCTTGCACTGTGTTTGGTTTGTGAGACAGGATGTCACTATGAAGCCTGGGCTGGCCCAGAATTCATGATTCCCCTGCTTTAGCCTTTCAGTGTAGGGTTAATGGGCTTTGATACACACCCAGGGGTTTGTTTTGTTTAGTTTCCTTGATGTTCTTGAATTTTCCTGGTCCCTATGGTTCTCTGGTTTCCTTCACAGCTGGTTTTTGCATCAAAACAACATCATCTGCCCTCTAATGTGAGGTCAGACAATGGGCATGGAGCCCCAGGCACCAACATGATGGATGTGCCTATTGTCCCACCTGTGGTGTTCCCCCTGCTCACTCTGGGTAGTAGCAGGAACATCTGTAATCCCAAGGCTCCTCACCTGCTCTCTGCTTGCCTTCCCCAGCTGTTTACCAGGGAAGCACATCTGTGTTGAGACAGACAATGAAGTTCTTGTTCTCTTATGTGCACCCCCTTGAGAAGGAAAAAGAAAAGAAAAAAGAAAATAGAACTGGTAGGCAGGATAGGTGGAAATGTAAAGGGTTTATTTCCTCTGATTTTTCTTCTCTGGGCTTCAGAGGTTCAAGATCAGCCATGTAGACCAGTCCACCCACATCTGCTATGTGACTTTGCATGGGTCATTTAAGCTCTCTGAGTCCCAATATCCCTGTCTATAAGGTGCTAATGTATGGCTGTTATAGGCGGAGCTAAATGAAATAAAGTATCAGTACTCTGGGCCCAGTGCTTGCCCCTTGCTAGGACATTGTTATTAGGATGTGTTATAGTACACACCCAGTGGCCTGGTCACATGCCTGCTGTGATTGAGGCTAGGCCTTTCCTCTTCAACAGCTGATGCAAATGGGAGGGAATTAAATTTCATTGTTGTGATGCAAGAGAACATACCAGTGAGTCAAGATTCCTACTTTTTTTTACCCACAAACTGGCATAAACTCCAAGAGGAATGTATCACTGACATCTATTCAAAAGGAACGGCAGGGGTTCGGTAGATCCCCAGAACCTTCAGTGGACATTTCTTCTATGCTCCCCTGTCAGAGTCATGAGCGTGACTTTTCAAATGGGACTGCAAACCTGGGGACTATTTATTAACCCCTTGCAGGCTCCCTCCCTCCCTCCCTCTTCATGCTTCTTTTCCCTGAGCTCTGCCCTAGCTTTGCTATGACATTGTCCACACCCTCCCCCCAGGTGCCTGCTCTGTGTTATTTATTGGCTTCCCCTCCCCCTTTTATCCCCCAGTGTTCCCATATCCACAATGAGTTCTGTGAATGGCAGCCTTGTATCTTGGAATATTCTTCATGCTCAAAGATCTTTAGGACAAGTGAACTGTGAGGGTGGACGCTTTCTGGGGTAGGTCAGACCCTGAGCACTTAGATCATTTGTGTCCTCACCCCCACAGTGTTCTCCCTACCTAGAACCTTACAGCGTGGCCTGGTTATACTTATTGTATGCTCGCTGGCACATCTATCTTCACGTAAAGACAAAGTGTCTGTGGATCGGGGTTCGTATGTGCCCAAGAGCTCAGAAACTCTTCAGCCTTGGCCAGCGTGAGCACCTTTGTGTTTTGACACTCTTCTGAAAACTCTCACAGCCGAAGGGCAAGAGATGGGCTCTGATGCCCTGTAGCTATCCAGTGGAATCCACAGGGAGATGGCCTGCCAGTCTTCTGGGTGCCAGCCCCCTCTCCACTAAGTGCTCCCAGAAGAGGTAAGACTCCACAGCTTTGCTTTCTCAAGAGCAGCCAGCACCTCGATTTGTAAGAGCACCTTTGTAATCTTTAAAAATGTTTGCAGGCAAAAGAGCCCACAGTCTACGCCAACAGATCTCCCTCCCTACCTATAAACTCCTGTTGCTCTGAAAAACTTCCAGAATTCAAGATAAATGCAAGAACTCGGGTTTTGTGCTCTTTCCTGATTTTAATGGTTTTTGTTTAAGGCTGGAATACTGTTAAGAGTTATCTCATTGGTTTTCATCTTTTGAAGGGCTTTGGTTTACTGAGACAAGAGTTTCCTGTAGCAGAGGCTAGCCTTGAACTCCTGATTGTCGGGTCTCCACCTCACAAACATGGGTGTTACAGGCTGTGCCTCTGCTCCCGAGCTGATCATTTTTCATCTTATTCTGTTTGTATCTTGTATCTGTTCTAACAGGTCTCTCTGGCGCTGGAAAAACAACCATAAGTTTCGCTTTGGAAGAGTACCTTGTATCCCACTCCATCCCATGTTATTCCCTGGATGGGGACAATGTCCGTCATGGCCTCAACAAGAACCTGGGATTCTCTCCTGGGGACCGCGAAGAGAACATCCGACGGATTGCAGAGGTGGCCAAACTCTTTGCTGACGCCGGCCTGGTCTGCATTACCAGCTTCATTTCTCCGTTCACAAAGGTAAGAGATTTGGCTCAGGGCAGGGGATGGCATGCCCATGTTCTCCCTCCCTCCCTCCCTCCCTCCCTCCCTCCCTCCCTCCCTCCCTCCCTCCCTCCCTCCCTCCCTCCCTCCCTCCCTCAGGTGTGGTCCTCAGTCAGCAGCCTGACTTTCACTTTCCCACCCGGTTTCCCCTCTCCTCACATGTCTCTGTGTTTCCTCTATTTGCTACTGGTTATATAAAGAGAGTTGCCTCATTGCCAGGAGCCGGTGCCCCAGTTAACATGAAGCCTTTATGGGTGACTGTCACCAAGAACATGTGGTCAGACTTGAAAGAGTTGAGCAAGACCTCCACAGCCTGTTATCTCAAGTTGTCAAAACGAAAATGTTTCAGTGGCCCAAACAGGACAGCCCGTTCAAATCGCTGGCTTTTGTGGGTTTAGTGGGGACCACAGTGGCCCAGGGTGTCCTAGCTCTGGTCTGAAGCAGGAGGTTTCTAGCATAGGCTTCCTGTGTTAAGAGCCACAGTCCTGATAACCACGAGCTGCATGTGTTCTGTAGCTGCCAGGGGGGGAATTCTTCCTTGTGTTTACCAGAGTGACTGACAACTCTGGGCTTTCTGGAAGGACTCTGCTGTGCACTGTCTCATGTTACCTCAAGACTGTCAAGCCCAAGAGTACTCGATGTTTTGCGGTGAAGGATCTCATTAGGAAACTTTTTCCTAATCCACTTTCTCTCAGAACAAAATGCCAGACCTGATGAATTTATGAAGACTAGAGGTGTATTTCCTTCATGACTTTGAAAACTTAGGAACCAAAGGGCATCTGATGAGAGCTTCGTACTGCATTTCATGCAAGAAAGAGCAAGAATTAGTTAGACTAATTCAACCCCCCCTTGACCACCTCCCGGATATTTTGCTATGTATATCCCCAGGCCAGCCTCATTCCTAACTCTCTTGCCTCAGCTTCTCAAATCCTGGGATTAAAGCCTGTACCCACCATATCTGTCAGCTTGTTTTTCTTGTTATAGCCACAATCCCTCCCAGATGACCAAGTCTAGTCTCAGTTTCCTCCTAAAGGGCCCACCTCCAAAACCATCAATATACACCCTCAAGGATTAAATTCCCACCACATGGGCTGGGCGGGCCTTTAGTCCCAGCACTCAGGAGACTGAGGCAGGTGAAAAACAAAAACAAACCAAAAAACCCAACACAAGAAGTTTGGGCCACATTCAAATAGTACCAAACATTTCTTTTTTTTTTTTTTTTTGTGAGATAGGGTCTCTAGTAGCTCAGCCTTGGCCTTGAACTCACTTTGTATCCAAATCTATTCTCTATTCTCTCTCTCTCTCTCTCTCTCTCTCTCTCTCTCTCTGTGTGTGTGTGTGTGTGTGTGTGTGTGTGTGTGTTTGGTTTGTTTGTTTGCTTGCTTGGTGTTTTTATTTTTCGGGACAGGGTTTTTCTGTAGCTTTGGAGCCTGTCCTGGAACTCACTCCGTGTAGACCAGGCTGGCCTCAAACTCACAGAGATCCACCTGCCTCTGCCTCCCCAGTGCTGTGATTAAAGGCATGTACCACTGTTGCCCAACACAAGTCTATTCTTGAACCTTCTGATCCTGCTACCTCTTCTGCCCTAGTGCTGGGATTGCGGGCATGCCCCTCCACTCTGGGCTCGCCTTTTACAGCTGTTATTACACACACTGCTTTTCAGGATCGTGAGAATGCCCGCAAAATCCATGAGTTGGCAGGACTACCCTTCTTTGAGATCTTCGTAGATGCTCCTCTAAACATCTGTGAAAGCAGAGACGTGAAAGGACTTTACAAACGGGCTCGAGCTGGAGAGATTAAAGGTATGAGAAATAGCTAGCAGCACCTTTGATGGTTACTCACCCTGCCAGTCTCCTGGTGCTGTCCTTAGAAATCTGTCTGGAGCTACGCACCCTGTGTCACAACTACAGAAGCTCATGCTTGCGAAAGCACAGTGCATTCAGTTCAGAGTGTGTGTGGGTTACTAAAATGTGGGAGATTTATCTTTGAAGAACAGCACCTCGGGCACAAGGAGTGAAGTTCAGAGAAAGAATGCACATGCAACCCAGACTGGATTTAGGAATGGTCTCATTGGGTTTCCTCCTTGCTTTCCTTTAGGATTGCAATCAGCAGTAGGAGGTTTGACTTCTGCCAGGTATCATGGCTAACTTGAGACTCTCCATATTGAAAAATATAGCTGTATACTTTCTTGTCTATAGCAAGAGACCAAGAATGGTGGTTTGAACTTTCCAGTCATAAATCACATTTTCAGTTGACGTATTATTGCAGTGTAGATTATGTTTCATTGCTTGATAACATTCTTCCGGGGGCACAGATATGATTTAGATCTTACTCCCTGCAGGGTTCACAGGCATCGATTCAGATTATGAGAAACCTGAAACTCCAGAGTGTGTGCTGAAGACCAACTTGTCTTCAGTAAGTGAGTGTGTGCAGCAGGTGGTGGAGCTTCTGCAAGAGCAGGTGAGTGTGAATGTGAATGAGTGTGTGTGTGTGTGAGAGAGAGAACCCACGTTTCTTCATTAAAACCCTTCCCTTAGCAGTCTCATTTGTGACTCTCGCCAACTCCATTTCATTGCAGAGCATTGTACCCCACACCACCATCAAGGGCATCCACGAACTCTTTGTGCAAGAAAACAAAGTTGATCAAGTCCGGGCTGAGGCTGAGACCCTCCCGGCATTATCAATCACCAAGGTAAGGGCGTACAGAGTGACCAGAGGGACTCAGGGTTAGTATCTGACATTATGAACTATTATACAACTCCTCTCCAGAACTACCTTTATTTGTATATTCTGCATAGCTCCCCCCCCCCGCCCCGTGTGTGTGTGTGTGTGTGTGTGTGTGTGTGTGTGTGGCTGCATGATTCCACCATGTTTGGGGATCAAACTCAAGTTATCAGGCTTGGTGGCAAGCACTTTTACCCACTGAGCCACCTTGAAGGCTCTACCATTTCTTTTGACCACAACAAATATCCAGTAGAGGTGAGTCTGTGAAGACATTCCCATCCTCTACCCTCCTCTCTGACTGAGAAAGCAACAGCCATATTTGCATAAGACAATTTGCATGGCTCCCCTACACCTGAAATAGAGGCACGGTCCCAGAGATGCAAAATAGCAACCCTGACCTACAACAACATAAGCCTTTCTGCTGTGTGTCTGCTGGTTCTGCTGATACAAGCAAGCCTGTGAAACCTGGGAAAGTGGTATTAGTCCTGGCTGGATGCTACTCTATAGACTCCTTACTGTGAAAAGCATGCTTTTGTGGCTAGAACTGACTGTCACCTCTGCAAAATGACAGTCACCACAGGCAAGAATTAAATAACCAACAGGTCCAAGAGAAGTCTTTTGGGAAAGTTTATAACTAACAACCAGCTCATGTCCACAAGGTGCTCTGTGCATATCCTCTTAAATAAAACTGTCACCAACAATATGTCCTCAGACACCCAGATATGAAATGCAAAGCCATATAGGCGACCAAGGTCAAGTGTGGAAAATATAAGATACAAGATATTCAAGATAAAGTTCTTCCAGAAGCTTCCTCTGTAGATTGTGCCCGTCCCACAGCAGGGAGAGTCCAATCTGAGAAAAGGGGATGGCAGCTTCATTTGTACTGATCTCATTAGCTGGAAGATATGAAACGCAACCCCAGCTACTGACCTGCTTTTAGCATTTTTGTGGATGAGCCTTACTTGCGTATACAAGATGACCAAGTCTCTCTTGCTATCTTTTTATTGTTCATTAGAAATTTGGAGATTTTATGACTGGTTGCTTCGGCTAATTAGGACACCATAAACAACTTACAAACAGAGCTCCTTGGTTCTGTAAACTGATCCCAAGCACCCCAGCACTCTGGACAGACAAGGAAACATGTCCAAAGCAACACAGGATGACAGTCCCAACAACAAAATGGTTTGCAGAGCAGAGAACTCCAGAACCTAAGGAGTGACTCCTCAGGTCACAGGAGTGACAGGAAATGTTTCAGAGCAGTGACCTGTGTGTTGAGTTTTAAAGGACCAACAGACTTTGCAGGTGGCCAAGATGACATAGCCCTCATCCTCTGATGAGCTGGTAGTGCCTGTGGGTTCCGACCATACATTGCCTTGAGTGTTGATAAATTGATCCTAACTAGGGTGGAAAAGGAGCTGGAAGTCCCAGGAGCCAGAGCTTAAGAGATTTTCATACCATGATAACAATGTTGGCCTTTACCATACAGTCAGTGGCTTGCTCAATTAGTCAAATGGCCAGTAGGTACATCTTATGAAAAAGCACAGTCAAACCTTCATGTTGGGATGGGGAGGAAGCAGTGAATTTTTAACTCTGTTGCACATGGTGGGAACAGTTACAGCTGAGCGTATTTAAATAATCTCCATGTGGAATCCTGTGATCACCTGATTGTCCAGGAAAGTCCTGGACGCACACATAGCTGGCCCCTGAATCAGAAGACCATAGAGTTTCAGGTGGGGACACTCAAAACATAGAAGGTTCTTCCCTCTTCCTCTTGCCAGCTGAATAGGGAGGTGTACCCTGGGGCCCAAGAAAGAGAGATGATGGACACGTCCTCTTGTTTCCTGTGTTTTCTAGCTGGATCTGCAGTGGGTACAGGTTCTGAGCGAAGGCTGGGCTACTCCCCTCAAAGGCTTCATGCGGGAGAAGGAGTACTTGCAAGTTATACACTTCGATACTCTGCTGGACGGTATGTTTTATGTTGTCTCTTACTGCTTGTTAAGAGTCTGCACATAGACAGGACTGATAACCCCTGGTTTGCAGATCATACTTCGGACAATATTTAGATTGTTTACAGTGTGTCCCTTCTACTATATGTTTTCATTTTTAGGGATTTTTTTTCATTCTCCAAGGATTTATAATTTAAAACCAAGTTATTGAGAAATGAAGGCTTTACTTGTACATGAAGCCAAAGAAATGTTCTGACTCTGAGCCCTGCTGGTCATATTCTTTGCTGGATCTAATAGTCAGAAGCTCCATTTGGAAGCATCCAGGAGCAGTCAGTCCATCAGTTTACTGACCCATAGGGACCTCCCTTTCTCTAGTCCATATTTCTCCCTTCGCATGGTGTCACAGAGCCTGCTTTCCTTGATGGCTGTGAAATTGTCAGTCTCAAACCCATACACGGCATACATGAAGACAGCTTCACCCTCTGGACCCTGACAAGGGAATGTGATGGTAACCTTCCAGCCACAGGCTGATGGCTTTTGCCGTCCAGGTTGGTCCAGGTTGGAAGAATGTGCTATCCAGAAGAATCCCAGGCTGTTCTCTAAGAATTTCCTTCCTGGAGTCCCCTGAGGTCCTCAGACGTGGGTTCTCTATTTCAAGACCATGGGGAAATGGCTACCAGGTGGGGAGGGATGCTGGTAGAATCACACCAATTGTATAACCCTGGGCCAAGCTTCAGGTCTATTAGGAAGAAAGGACCAAATCAAATATTCAATCTTTGGAAAAATACTCTGGAGCTTATGCTGCTGCCTAGGGAATGGCCTAGAAGCAGAATCCTTAGACTGACCGAAACACACCTTCATCCTCTGCTGTAACTGAGCATGCCCTACAACAGGAAGCCTTGGTTTCTCAAATTAAGTAACAAGCCAAAAACACATCTTAAATCTATATTGCTATAACATATACTATTTTACTTGATCTCTATAAAAATCCCTAGAAATTACCCACTCCTCAGATGAGGAAACTGAGCTCAGGGTAAATGACTTGCTCACTTTCACACTGCTTAGAAGTGAGGCCCCAAGACCAGAGTCAAGACCTGTTCCTGTCTGCTGCCCTTTCTACATCAGGCTGCCCTTCTGATGACCTTTCCAATGGACTCCTTTCCAGAAGGTCAGGGTGCCTAAACAAGGAAATAGGACATTTACCTTGATATCTTAATTTTGACACATGCTGAACACAGCTGTATCAAGGACATGCTGTTGAACTTAGCTGCCAGCCATATCCACGGTGCAATGAGTGAGCATCCTCTCTGGAGACGTGACCACAGGACAAGGAGACCACATTGACAGAGGAGGCCTCATCCCACAGAGTGCCTCCTTGTACAGGAATTTCTCCATAAAGAAAGATGCCTGAGTGGTAGATAGGGCTGCCGGGGTCAGTGTCAATAGAAGTAAAGCGTCCTTAGCCTCAGATCCAGGCCTGTGGGGTGGGGGCAGTAAAAGTCATCTTATGTCTTGTTTTGAGAAAGGCGTGAAAGGAAATGCTCCTGTGTTGTTGGCTGCTTTTTCTAGGTCCTTAAGAGAGACTGTGACTCCAAAGATGAATTCCAAATATAGATAATCAGTCTTGATGGTTTTGAAAGTGGCTCTCTGCTTTCTTTCCCATTGTTTCCATTTTATTTCATTTCTGTTTCCCTGAAGCCCCACAGCTTTATCGCTTTCCCATTATTACTGGAGTTTCCTAGCTCCAAGCCCCTGCCTGCTTGTGCAACCTCGGTTCTTTCTAAAACCTAAACCCAAGTGTCTATAGGAGTCCCTGGGGTGGGTGTTCCTGTGTACCCACATCAAGTCCACAACTACATGCTACTCTGCACTCACAGTCACTCAGACACCAAAGTTCTTAGAACTAGTGTTCTGGAACAGGGAAACCTTCCCTCCCTGCAGGTTAGGAGGTTGCTTATACCTTATGTAAATAATCTTGTAAATATTATGTAAATATCCACATGGACCTCTTTATCCCAAGGCTCCGGTACGGCTACATTAGTAAGGGTTTAAGACTGGATGTCTGTGTAGTTGCCATACCCCATGCAGGCCATTTCTGGAACTTTCTATGAGACCTCTTTTATTCTTGTAGGAATTCTTTGCTAGCTGAGCCTCTACAACTAGAGTCCATCAGACACACACAGCTCAAGATTCAAATATCTACATGGCCTTCAAAGCCCCCCCCCCAGCTCTTATATAAATTAGCTGATTAAAAAAATAGAGAGCACAGGGGGTTCAGCAGGTGAGAGCACCGACTGCTCTTCCAGAGGACCCAGCATCCACATGGTGCCGTCTTCTAGCTTTCATGGGTACTGCACACATGTGGTACACATGCCTACAGACAAAGCACTCATACACATAAAGTATTTTTTTTTTCATTTAAATTAAAAAGTAAGGGAGCGCGAGCCTGTAATTCAAGCTATTTTGGAGAATGAGGCAAGAGGACCACAAGTTTAAGGACAGCCTAGACAAGTTGGTGAAACCCTATGTTAAAATAAAAAGGGAAAACAAGGACATAGTTCTATGGTAGCACACTTGCCTAGCATGTGAGGCCCTGGGTTCAATTCCTATTACCGAACAAAGATATAACGGATATCAGACTCTCTGTGTCTCAATTTCATTTGGGCCTAACTAGAAGTAGATTCCAATAGCAGGTAAAAGTGTGAGCTGTGAGGCCAAACCAGCTGCTTTTATCTACCAGTGATTAGCTATGAACCTGACAAATAACCTCAACTCATGGGGCTTAGATCCCTCGTCTATATGATGGAGATGGCAATTATAGTGCCTACCTCCCTGGAATATTGAAAGTTTAAGAAAAATGCCTCATCCAGTAGTAAAGCCCCAGACAGGTTTGCTAGTAACACAGACCCCTACTGCTGACAGTTGAGAGGGTTTGGAAACTTGAAGTGACTTATCCGGAGTCCTATCAGCTTGAGTCAGCCCCGATAAAGTTATTCACTAGCAAGAGCTCCCTTCTCAGAACTCACATACGGGGCTTCCTCTAGATGCTTTGGACAGAGAGGTCCTGAAGAGGGAGTGAGCTTGCAGGGCAGACAGGACAGCTTCTCTGAGGCCAGATTCTAGAAATGTCTTCTTACCACATTGATTTAAGCCAAAGCACTTTGAATTTCCCAGGCTGCAGCATCTCAGGGAAGCCACTTGAGCTCTTACACTTCCCATGCCATAGTCTCCTTGGAGTACATGACTAGTGTGATGACTCTGGACTAAGAAGACAGCTAAGCTCCAGAATGGTTTTTGTATATTATTTTTATATATTATAAATTTTTACATAGTGTGTATATTGGTGTAGTGAGATATCATCCATACAGATATTACCTCACGTTTGACAGATCACTAAGGTTTGATTCACCACCATTGACACTGAGATGTTTAGCATAGCCACAGCCACACATCTTTCTATCATCAAACTGTAAATCTCTTGGATACTTACAGCCCACAAGGAACAACAGATTTCCTGTCTCCTATATTTTGTTAGTTTTAATTACCTAGGTTCACATTTTACCCTGAGTCTAAAAAGTATAATCAGTCTATTCAGTACAAAATCAAAACTGAACAGTCCCCCCCACAAACCACTGGTTTGTGTTCATGGTGTCACAAGTGACTGCTTTCACTTCGGTGTCTTCTGTCGCTTTCTCTCTCGCTGGAAGTGCAGTTTCAGGCTTGTCATGGACCCTCCTAGGATAAATGTCACAGATGTTGGCCAATAGTTGCTGAGTGGGATGAAGACAACTCCATTATTTAAAATCGATAACCTTCCAGGCAGGAATGGGGGATCTCCAGATATATTTCATGTCGATTACCCCATTCAACCTTCATGAAGCTGTTTAGTGTTCATGAGGTAAGTGCTAGAAAACGAAGAGCTCACTTGAGTTTGCATTCAAATCTAGGTTCTGATGATTCCAACACTTGTGTCTAATTTCCTAGGCACCCCATCAGATCCTCTAAGCACATCTGGGTGTCTATAGTCTATGAATGTTTGTATCTACACTCTCCCAAAGTCTGGTTTGGAAACCATGTGGCAGTCTTGCCAAAATTAAGAGTGACTAACATGTTTTACAATTATTTCAAGTAGATATATTCCTTTTGAATTATGTCTTAGAGTGCATTGAACAATATCCCACAAAAATGGTTTTCCCATGTATTTGGTATCATGTGCCTGTTTTAAAAATAGCATAAGGAGGAGCTGAGAATATTTGCATATGGTATATGTGAAGTGCCATAATAGGAATGTGCTCCTTGATGCTGCTACTTCAAGATTCTCATTGTGGAGACCTGAAAACATGTTTCTTATGTTTGTATTTCTCTAGGCGTGGCTCTCTGTGGTATGTACTTCACCCTCCAAGTAGTTGAATTATTGTAATTAGATATGCTACATTAATTTTAAAAATTAAGGATACAATTTTTAAAAATCCAAATTAACCAGTTGGAATTGTTCAGTTCATAATCCAACCAGTTATAGTAAAACTATACCACATCATTCTGTTTATTCAAGCACAAACAACAGGAAATTTCTGGTTCAGATAAAACTATTATTTTGAATGTTGAGTTTAGCTAACATCAGCAAACTTGGCTTCTAAATTATCATTGCACATTTTGTTCCTGAGTTCTTTTAAATTTATGATCGTCTAATGACTTCTGGTCCCCTTTTAGTTCCAGAAATTTGGAATTAAATTTTTTTTGTCTCATTAACAAAGCATTTTTAGTCAATGAGGCAATTCATTTTAGATTCAATTTAAAGTAAATATATCTGGTTGGACTGTGTATGATCATTCCTTGTTTGTTTGTGATATATGATTATGCATGGACTTAATTGAAAGCTATCATAATTGGTAAAGAAGCAAAAATAAATATACACTCACTGGGACTATAAATTTCCACATTGTACCAGAATGAAGTAAAATTCCAAACATATTTATCTTTGATATTATTTTTTATCATTTTTCCTTTAAAAAGCCTAATTATGTAATAATGTTAATTTCATTTCTTGGAAAGAGAAATCTATGCAACCCATAAGCATATCTACAATGCTAAAGAGAAAAGGACTGGCAACGGTTTAAACAAAAGAAAATTTATTTAGTTAGGTAGGAAATTATTCGTTGGATGTCCTAAGGTTAAAAGCAACAATACTCTTCCAAAATGAAATAAAGCATAGTGGAATAAGACAACTCTTAAGAGAATTGAAACACACGCAGGGGAAGGGCCAAAGGCTCAAGGAATGTTTGAAGCTACAGAGGATGCTCAGCACAGCACAACTGTTGGATGTGTTTTGTATCAAAAAAACAAAACAAAACAAAAAACCCTAGAGGGTCTAGAGAGACGGCTCAATGGTTAAGAGCACTTATTGCTCTTGCAGAGGACCTGGGTTTGGTTCCCAGCACACACATAGAAGCTAACAACCGACTGTAACTCCCGTTCCAGAGAACCTGACACCCTTATCTGGCTCCCTGGGGCACTGTACACACATACATGTAGGCAAAGCACCCATATACATAAAATAAAATAATCTTTTTTTTTTTTTATGTAGAGAAGAAGCTGTCGACATAACTCAGTGGTTCTTGCAGAAGGTGGGAGTTTGGGTCCCAGTACCCATGTCAGGGCAGCTCACAACCACCTCTAAAACAGCTCCAAGGGATCCGGTGCCTCTAGCCACCATGGGCACTTGCATTCACCTATCCATACCAATACACAGATACATATAATTTAAAAATAAAAATAAATCTTTTAATGTAAAGTAGAGGAAAAGGCTGGGACTGTAGTTAAGTGGTAGAGCACTTGCCTCCCCTGCCCACTACTGCCAAAACAAACAAACAAACAAAAATCAAGAACAGAGAAAGATGCTAGGGAACCAAGTTAAGCCCAAGCAGAGTTGCAGTTCCAGACATATGGGAGCAGTGGGCATTATTACTTAGTAGGATCCCTGTCCATGTGGTCCCCCAGGTGAGTCCTTTATCCTGTATCACTGTGGATGTTCACTCCATCAGAGTCTGGAGCTGGGAAACAAAGTGTCCTCGGCTCCAGGCCAGACCAGGCTGCCTAACACTCCCTTTGACCTTTGCTTTGCAGTTTGCTTTCCTTCAGTTTAATCAAGTCTCTGTAAGCAGACCTGAGCATCGTGGCCTCTCTCCCCACAGAGAGCATGAGTTCTCATTAGAACAGGAGCATCCCTGAATCCCGTGATGCTCTTGGTTAACCGCCCCTTTCCTGGTAGAAAGATTTAGTTGTAGTTCATCGCAGACATTTATTAATACTGTACAGTGTGTTCCCCCAGAGGCCTGGGGAGTTGGATACTGCTAACTCTTCTTTCAAGAACTCCCCACTTTGAGTTTGGGGTTCTCTGCAAAGGGGCTGGGTGCTCCGGCTTCTAATGGAACAGTTACTTTCATGTATACCATCTAATCTGCAATGTTTAATGGCGTCTATTGTAAACCGCAGGTTTTTATGGGAGACTGGATGTCTTTATTGCTGGCAGTTGCTGTCTGACCTGTGACATTCTTTTAGGGATTACTAACTTGAGAGAGTTGAAGAGGACAAAGCATTATGCCTGCCTACAACTGGGCAGGTAGCTGTTAGGGAGTTTTATGTCCCACAGGAACAAGACTCAGATCTCCACAGGTCAGAAGCACACTAAGTGGACTTGCCATTCCAGGACTCCGTGTTCTCTGCCCCTGGAGGCTTTCCTCTGTGATCTTCCTCTCATTCTCTCCCAAACCCTGACCATATGCTGAGTCTTTCGTGTTACCTGAACCACAGCCCCCCATTTTCAACTGTAAGCACAGCGGAGAAAGGCAGACTAGATACAGATGTGAGCACACTTGCAAAAGGGAAATGAAAGACATCATAGCCTTACATGTTTTCACACTGTGGCATCACTAAGAAACGAGAGCCAGTTTTTATACTTTTAAGCTTCAATTTCGAAAGCAACTACATCTTTTTAACCATTTTATCTAAAAATTCTTCAAAATGTTCATACTTATTTGGGGGGGGCAGGGTGATTTTGAGACAGAGTTCCAGAAAGTCCAGGCCTAACCTCAAACTCACTATTACAGTCCAGGATACCCTTGAAGTCCTAATCATCCTGTCTCTACCTCCCAAATTCTGGGGTTACAGGCCTGGTTACTACACCTGGCTAATTTAATATTTAAAAAAGCAGCAACCCCTTAGCTGGGCCTGGTTGTACAGCCTGTGGTATCAGTGTTGGGAAGCTCTATCAGTAGTGCAAGGTCATCCAATCCAGCCTGTTAGTTCTAGGTCAGCCTAGGCTACAAGAGACTCTATCTCAAAAACAAAGAAACAACAACAAAATAAACCCCACAATCTTTAAAGCCTCTTATTCACATAGAAATTGCTGGAGATGTACCTTAGCAGTACCCTGCTTGCCTAGCATGTAAAAGGTCTTGTGTTAAATCTTTGACTTCACAACACACAAACACACACACACACACACACACACACACACACGCATAACCCTCATCAGGAAACTTGCAAGATACCTGTGGGTATTTTGATTTCCATAGATACTTCTATGTATTTGTATTTTTAAAGCTTATTTTACATTATTTGTCTATGTGAGTATATGCACGTGAGTACAGGTGTCCACAGAGACTAGAGGCATCTGATCACCCTGGAGCTGGAGTTATGAGTGGGTTGTGAGCTGCCTAACATGGGTTTTCTTCAAGAGCAGGGCATGTGTGTGGTGTGGGGAGGGTGGGGGAGGGTACACTGTTAATTGCTGAGGCATCTCTGCAGAACACTACATTTAAAAATACATATATCTACTTCTCAGTGTTCTCCAGAGCTACAGTGTGTGTGTGTGTGTGTGTGTAGATTGTTTTTAATTGACTCATGTGGTTGTGGGGCCTCACAAGTTCAAAATCTGGAAGGTCAGCCTGAAGGCTGGAGATTCAGAGGGAAAGATGCAGTTTCAGCTCAATCATGCTGCTACCCGAATTGCTTCTTCTGGGTTTCTTTTCCACAGGTCTTTCATTGATTAGATGAGAACCACTCACTTCATGGGGGATGATTTTTTTTATCCATGACCCACTATCTTAAATGTCAGTCTCATCTGAAAGTAAAACTCACAGAAACACTGAGAATATTTGCTCAAATGTCTGGGTACCATGGTCTAGCCTCATCGACACATACAGTTAACTGCCAGGTCCTATATCTGGCATTTACAAGTTTTCCTTTCTCTTCTTTCAGTCAAGCTGCTGACCTGTTATGAAGATGTAGCTTCTCTGAACAGTCGATTTTGTATCCTCTGTGTCACATACAGAGGAATTAGAACAGCCAGCTTCCTCTAATTTTCTTTTAGACACTTAGCAGCATCAGGATAGTCTTACTCTCTAGAGAAAGTGCACACAAGTTTAGCAAAGTTTAGTAAGTGGCTTTGTACCACTTTTCACTCCCATGTTCTTTTAAAAGATTTTTTTTAACTTGTGTATGGTTGTTTTGACTGCATGTATGTGTACCACATGCATGTAATGCCTATGGACACCAGAGAGGGCGTCTGATCCTCTGGAACTGGAGTTACAGCTGGTTGTCAGCTATTGTGTGGGTGCTGAGAACCAAATCTGTTTCCTCTGAAAGAACAGCAAGTGTTCTCACCCATGGAGCATCTCTCCAGCCAGGCCCTACAACAATGTGTTTTGAGTGATGGCTTTAATTGTAGCTGAGCCAGCAAGACTGGGATCCCAGATAAGTGAGATGAACAGTGTCTGAAAACATTTAAAGATAGAGTTGCATCTAGACTAGCATCAAGAGGTTGATTGTTGCTTGTCTGAGTTGTGAACTCTGTGGCTTGCTTTTTTGTTTTAACCTTTCTTTTCAGTTCAGTTATGTTGGTAATGTTCAACATTGACACAGGCTCATTTCCAAGACCAAGAAGAACTTTCAGTTTGGCCAATCTTTATTTGATTTTTAAAAAGTAAAACTTCAGCCTGGAGAGATGGCTCAGTGGTATAAGAGTATTCAATGCTCTTCCAGAGGACCCAAGTTGAGGTCTAAGCATCCAAATTAGAAGGCTCACAACCATCTAAAACTACAGGTCCAGAGGATTTGAAGCCCTCTTCTGGTCTCTGAGTATACCCATATGCATATATATGCATATGGGTATATGCATATGGGTATACTCTCAAACAAACAAACAAACAAGCTTACCTTAAAACAACAAAAGACTTAACTCTTCATAGTACACTAGGGTCAGGACCAAGATTTTAAAAGGCAAGCCAGATGAGATATCTCCATCCTTCCCCTAAAAGCTAGATCACTTACTGAGACAACCTACCTCAGGAATAGGCCAAGGAGTCCCCATCACAGTCTTAGAAAAGCCAGAGGAGCAGCATGTCTGTGCTGGACTTGGGTCCTGATGCCCAAACAGAGGCTTTGGAAGGAGGACTGCGCACACATTAGCCATCCCTGAAGGATGTTAACCTTGGATCTGGTACTCACGCATCACATGGGTCTCTCCATAGACGGAGTCATCAACATGAGCATTCCCATCGTACTGCCTGTTTCTGTGGATGACAAGGCACGGCTCGAAGGGTGCAGCAAGTTCGCCCTGGTGTATGAAGGTCAGAGGGTGGCTATACTACAAGATCCTGAGTTCTATGAGCACAGGAAAGAGGAGCGTTGTTCCCGAGTGTGGGGAACAGCCACTGCAAAGCACCCCCACATCAAAGTAAGTACAAAACCTATGGGAGGACTTTTTTTTTAAAGGGGTGTGGGATACATCTGCGTGTGTAGGTATATAATTGCACACATCAGATATCAGAGGACAACCTTAAGTATCATTTCTCAGGGTGCATGCCTTCCGCCTCCTGTTTGAGACAGGGTCTTTTACTGGCCTGGAATTTTGCCAGGCAGGCTAGACTAGCTTGGCAGTGAGCATTTGACAGATTTCCTGTCACTGCTTCTCATCTCGCCATCATGAGACTATCGGCACATGCCACTGCACCTGTCTTTTAATGTGGGTCCTAGGGGTCAGAGCTCACACTTATAAGGCAAGCATTTCATGAACTGAACCATCTCCCCAAATGGAAATTCTTATTCTTATTTTTGGCATGTGTGCATATGTAGTGTATATTCTCATGTGTATGCATGTTTGCATGAGAGTGTACATGCATGTACACACGTATGTGGAGGCCAGAGATTGACATGGGGTATTTTCTTCAGTTGCTCTCCACCTATTATTTTGAGATAGTATCTCTCACTGAACCTGAAGCTCACCAGTTTGGTTAAGCTAGCTGGCCAGCAAACTCCAGGATCTTCCCATCTCTGCATCCCAGGGCAAGGATTACAAGGATGTGCTGTTGCAACCAACTTTTTATGTGGGTACTGGGGATCCAAACTCAGGTCCTACCTCACATTTATGCAGCAAGACTTATACTGCCTCAGCCATCTCCCCAAATTCATGGTTGAGTTAAAGAAATATTTATTCTGAAGCCAGGTATGATGGGTCAAGCCTATGAATCCCAACACTAAGGAGGGAGGGACAAGATCAGAGGCTAGCCTCACTTAATAGCTAGTTTGAGGCTAGGCTTGGTTACAGAAGACTGTCAAAAAAAGGGGCGGGGGTTGATATTTTTGTTTGAAAGTTTGTCTTGATCTCCTAAGTTACCAGATCCTTGCCTTAGCTAAATAGGACTAGGCAGATAATAAATAGTCTAGCACCATGAGTAAAGGATCAAAGTCATAGTTGAAACTAGACATAAAATGATAACTAGAGCTTGCAGCCCTGTTCATGTTGACAGTGTGTATAAGAAATGCACGTAATGGACCCAAACAACTCCTGAAAACAACTCAGAGTTCATGTTCTGTGGCCAGTGAGCAGGTCAATGACATCTTTCCATAAACAAAGCTCAGGACACATAAGGGCTAAATTCCAAGAAGAAAGACACTACATTCTCATCAGAAGCTGTTCCTCTGACTAGGATCATTTAGTTCTCTCCTCCCTAAAGCCAAATCAGATCCCTCAGCAACTTCTAACTGCAGTTGGTAATGAAGTGGGAGTGAGGGGGTATTAAAGAGAGCCACTTGATAGAGTCCATTTCCGACAAAATTCTGTGAAACTGGATGCAAATCCATTCTGCATCGGAGACACAGGCATTGGGGTAGAAGCAAAGGGAGATATTACTAATCTCATTGGACTTCTGCAATTCTCCAGCTTGGTTAGCTTTCAGGCTCACAGTGAGCAGTGCTCACATCATGAGCAGTGAAGCCCAAGAGGTTCTCAAGGACTTTGTGTTAGCCAAGAACCCTGTTCTTCATTTCTCTTATGACAAGAAGATGAGGCCAAAATATGTTGAGCAGCTTTTCCAGCCCTATAACCTTGCAGGAAAAAAAATCCGTTGTGAAATGTTACAAAATAGGAAAGACATTCTCAAGGCCAAGTTAGTAGCCCTTGGAGCCTTCTTTATTGGAATAGAAGAAAGAGCTCAGAGAGCAAGGGAGGCACCTTTTCCACTTATTGGACACAACCATTAGCCTTTGAGATACACATCTCTTGCAGGTCACAGTCATCCGGGCAGTTTCACTACCCCCACCGGCGCAGCCTGGCAGAAGGTCTTTGAGATAGCTGCTCCAGGAATATGACATTCTGCCTTCAATTACATCTCTGACCAGTTCTTTTATGATTGTAATCACACAGGATTGGGATCTTATCTTTCTTCAGCGACCCAAAGAATAACGACCTATCACTATCTCTGCTCAAAGATTTCTCCTCTTTGAGTCAAACATCTTAACATCCACATGACTTGCACTAAAGCCATAAAACTAACCACAGATAGTGCCATGGGGAACCCGAGTGACTATTTCTTTTCATCTTGTCTTTCCATTAGAGGAACCCGTGATAAGAAATGGGTGATAGATAACTGGAGAGTAAGCATTTAGCCTATACCAAAAGGTATGTTTGGAAAAAACATAATATATGAATTGTATTGGGTAAAGAACTCTTTTTTGTTTGTTTGTTTGTTTTTTATTAATTTTTCTAGACAGGGTTTCTCTGTTGCTTTGGATCCAGTCCTGGAACTCACTCTGTAGACCAGGCTGGCCTCAAACTCCGAGATCCGCCTGCCTCTGCCTTGCCAGTGCTAGGATTAAAGGTGTGCACTGCCATTGCCTGGTTAAGAACTCTTATTTTTAACACCCTGAAACTCACACTAATACTTTAACAGTTTTGGGTTTTGGAGTTTTTTGTTTTTGTTTGTTTGGTTTTTTTTTTTTTTTTTTTTTCTTTTTTGAAGACAAAAGTCTTCTAACAGTTTTATTCACAAAAGTAACTGTGGCCCTTGTATTTTCAATGGAACTGAGAATGTTTGCAAAGAATGATCAATTGCCAAGGAAGTGGCCTGCCTCTGTTTCACAACTCCTCACCTATGAGCACTCCTGAACTTAGTGTTCTATTGCTGTGGAGAGACACCACGACCACTGCAACTCTTACAAAGGAAAGAATTTAACAATTTCAGAAGTTTAGTTCATTGTCACTATGGTAGGAAGCATGGCAATGTGCAGGCAGATATGATTCGGGAAAAGTTGAAAGTCTTACATTTGCATCTGCAGGCAGCAAGAAGAGTGAGACAGCAGGTCAGGCTTGAACTTTTGAAACTGCAAAGCCCATCCCCAGTGACATATTTCCTCCAACAAGGCCATGCCTGCTCCAACAATGCCATACCTCCTACTCCCTGTCAAGTAGCACCACTCCCTAGTGACCAAACATTGAAATCTATGAGCTCACAGGGCCATTCCTATGCAAACCACCACATGACCCTTCCACTCAGGAAGTTCCCTTGAGTCACAAAGTATGGAACCATATGTCATAATCTCAGAGTCATTTGAGGAACAACTAGAATGTGTGGAAATAATGGCTGGAGGAAACCAACCATCTCTTATCCATGGCATTCTATTACCAACCAGTAAATTCTTACAGTTCCCTTGTGAATTAAGAAAAATGATCATTCCCATTTTAAAGATGTAGGAATCAAGAAAACAAAGTATGTCTTCCCAAGAAAAGGCAAGAACAGAGATTTTTGTAGCCCTTGTATCCACAGACAGACCAGATGGACAACAGCAAGATCAACGGGACAACCAGAGAAACCTTAAAATTTGCACAGTCACATCAGCCATCATGGTTCACACCTCCAGGGCCAGGGAGGCTTAGGCACCAGGATCCCAAGTTTAAGGGTTACATAACCAAGTTATGGGTTACATAACAAGACCCTGCCTCAAATAACCCAGAGCAGGTCTCACAGATTTTGGCTGGATGGGCGTTAGGTAAGGCTGGTCCTTGCGAGCTTGAAGTTGCCCATGATTTGCACATGCTGTGAAGGTTAAGAAACACTCAGTTACAGTTAGTTAGAGCTTTATCTAGATATGTCCTGAAAGTGCTTCAAACTCAGTGTGTCAGCAGTCCCCAAACTCATTCTCCTACCCAACAGCTCTGTGTGCATGCACTAAACCCACAGACAAAACCTACATACCACTCTTGCATTTTCTCATTCCTGTTCCTATTTGATTTCCAAGTTCTGACAGCTCTTCCTCCAAGCATTACTCAGATACATTCATTCACACCTGTTCCAGTTTAGGGCAGATTTCACATCTTCTCCGTGTCTTGCTTTATAAGCATCCAACCCATTGTCTATTCTTCAGACAGAGTGAACTGTTCAGCCTTTATTTGGGATCCCCTTTACAAAGGGTTATCTTTTAGCTTGTACCACTAGCAGCCATACATTTCTCCTCCCGAGACTCTAGAGTTGATCATTACGTCATGTTTGTTCCTTCTGCTCCTGCATCCTTATCTTACTTCCTCCTTTCTGGCATTAGTCCTATCTCCCCTGACTTGTAGGTATGACTCAACCAGCCTTCTGTATCCTCTCAGAATAGTGTGTACTGTCCATACCTGTGACAGGCATTACTGGGAGTGATTCTGAAATATCATTCAGGGGGCCACTGAGGAGAGCCAGTGGTTGTGGTAGGAAAGAAAGCTTAGTTTTCTCAAGTTCCAGAATTAGGTTCTGATTTTGGCACAATAGCCACGGTCACCTAGACTCTGTCACTTCCTTTATGTAAACGGGCCTTCAATCTGAAAACTATGATGTTAACCTCACATGATCTTCAAGTGCCTTTAAGCCTTTGTCAGGTGGCTTGGAAGGGGGTGGGTGATTCTAAGCCACTGTAATGAGCCTTCTTTCCTGAGAGCTGGACACGGGGGCTGGGGATAGTCTGAGCAGTTATCACAGAGTACCTTTGGAGAGTCCAAAGGATACTAAAAGGTTTCAGCATCACTCTTCACAGAGCTGGTTCTGCTCTGAGTGGTGAAGAAAGGCATTTCAGTGCTGTCTTCATCAAAACAGTCCAGTGTAAGGTTGGCCCATAGAGTTCAGAGTGTTACAAAACTCCTAGGGATCAGGGTCAACTCTTTCAGAAATGTCTCTAAGCAATGGTTTGCCTGAGGACAGTTTAAAAAGGAGGCCATGAAAACAGACAAATCCATTGCACAGTTACCTCATGGTTTCGCAAACTCAGCACCATATGTCTTGCTGTTGTGAAGGCTATGTTGTAGGATGGCAGCTGCATGCTTTGGTTGCACTAGATTCTAGATAGCACACCCTTCTTACTACACTTGTGACCATAAAATTGACTGGAGATGTCAGATGTGACAATAATCACACTAGGCTAACCTTCCATTCTCTGAATCCTCTGGAATTCAGTCCCAGTTATAAACCCAGTTATTCAGCATCCGGCTGTAATGGGAAGCTGAACCCGGGCAACACATCGTGCCAGCTTTTTTCTACTGGGTATTTTATAAGTAAGCTTTCTCAGTCACCCTTGCCTCCCTCAACTGTACCAACATTTTAGGTATTCATTTTGTCCTTACAAAGATGACATAATACATAATTGTCTTTTTGTGACTTACTTCACTTTCCCTGTCCTCGGGGTTATCTGTGTTGTGGTTCTTTTTGTCGCTGTCCTACTTTCTCAGGATTATCTATGTGGAAGCATTGGGCAAGATTTCTTTCACATTACAGTATGAATTGTGGACAGGCAGTGGTGATGCACACCTTCAATCCCAGCATTCAGAAGGCAGAAGCAGGTAGATCTCTGTGAGTTTGAGCACAGACTTGTCTACAGACCTAGTTCCAGGACAGCCAGGGCTACACAAAAGAAACCCTGCTTGAAAAACAAACAACAAAAAACATTGCACAAAAAGGCTGATCTGTGTTCCATGCTGTATCTTTATGTATCCATTCATTCACTGGTGGACATTTGGGTTGCTATGAACTGGAGATTTGAGTGTGAAAATCTCTCTTGAAGAAGTAGGCCTGCTGGATCCAAAGCTTCTAAGTTTTGTTTTGTTTGTTTTGGGTTTTTCAAGACAGGGTTTCTTTGTGTAGCTTTGGAGTCTATCCTGGCACTCCATCTGTAGACCAGGCCGGCCTTGAACTCACTGAGATCCTCCTGCCTCTGTCTCCTGGGTGCTGGGGTTAAAGACATGCACCACCACTGCTTGGCTGGTTTTGTTTGTTTTTTTCGTTTCTTTTTCTTTCTTTGGCTTTTTCTGCTTTTTTGTTTTTTAAATACTTCATACTGTTTTCCATAGTAGTTTCGTCTTTTTAGAGCCCAGTGCATTGGATTCTTTCTAATCCCTCTCCATCCTCACTAACAGATTCTTCCTGAGTTTGTTTATTCAATAATGGCCATCCTTATGGGTATACCATCTTTTCTCATTTGGATTTCATTTGCTTTATGGTTGGTAGTAGTGGCTATCTGCAGACTTTGGCCATTTACAGACCGTATTTGGAGATATGGCTACTCAGGTTTTTTGTCTAGTCTTTTTTTTTTTTTTTTCCATATGTTTGTGAGTGTTCCTAAGGGGGAATGCATGTGTGTGTTGCCATCAAAGAACATATTGGAGTTGGTTCTCTCCTTCTACATGGTAGGTCCCAGGGACTGACCTCATCATACTTGAATTAGCACCTTTATACACAGAGCTATCTCACTAGCTCTGCCATTTTAATTGTGAGTCATTTTACTTACCATTTTTTCTGGGGACGTTTTCTGTTCTTTTTGAGATATGATCTCGCTATAAAGTCTACAATTCCCTACTCAGCCCCAAGGGCCGGTGTTACAGGCATGTACCACTACACCCAGGCTGTAGGAATAGCTGCTTATGATGTCACAATAGTCATCCTATGTACAGATTCCCTTCTCACCCTGTTGTCTTTTAGATCAAAGTCTTCAGGGTAGTCCCAGCTTTCTGTATTTGCTTTTGTAGTCTGTGCTTTTGGTACCATAGCCAAGAATTCACTGCCAACCCCAAAGTTATGAAGACTGCTCCCTTTATTTTATTAAGCATTTTATAATCTTGGGTCTTTTATGAACATCATTAATCCATTTTAACTTTTGCACATAGCATATGGAGCCATTGCATCCTTTTGCATGTGGGTATCTAGTTTCCTCATCATATTTGCTCAACAAGCTGTCCTTTCCACAGAGGGTGGCCTTGGCATCCTTAGCAGAGGTCTCTTGAGAAAATAGAGTTTTAGCTAACTGTCTGTTTTGCACTATACCCGAATATTGCTACACTTGGCTGCTCACTGGATTTTATTTTAAAAGTGGGTATAAATGAAGGCGGCTGCATCTATGGGTGATTTTCACAGAAATTGTACTTAACAATAACTACATGATAGAAAAACAAACAACTTTTCCTCTAAGGCATCTACTTTGGAGTTCTATTGAGAACAATGTAAAATATATTAGGCAATACTAGGAAGGTGCCAGCAGAGAAGCTCTCAGAGCATGGTTCTTAGAACTCTAGCACCTAGCAGTACTCATAACCTTGATGGAGAACTCCCAGGTGCAGAACCATGTAACTGTGTTAGCTTTTTTTTTTCCTGTGATGTCATTGGCATGGCTGGTACAAAGCAATAGTGGGCAAATTGCTGGTGCCTCCCTCAGTTATGATAACTGTACTATGAAGCCACCAGCTTCACTGAAGAACACTTTATCATGCTGTAAAAATGACCTTTGAGTCCATGTGGTTTTTCTTCATAACTTACTGCAAACAGGGAAATTTACAAGATGCTTCTGCTATGCACCTCAATCCTTGATGGCTGGTGAAAGGAAAAATTCTTGTCAAGTTGTTTGAGTTTTGGGGAAACAGCCATTGAAACACCATTGAAACCCTGGTGTCAAGAATGTGGGTTTAGAAACACATGTCTTCAGACTTGGATATTTTTTTTTTAAATGAACAAAATCCTGTTGCTTCAAGAAAAACTAAGAAGAGTACTTAGTATTTGCCAATGATTAACCTTAAGGTTTCAAACAAAGACATTCTATTCATTAATATGAGTATGACAGCAAGTTCATACTTATAAGATTTTCTTCTGAGACTATCAGTGATGCTAGTGTGTGTGTGCGTGTGTGTGTGTGTGTGTGTGTGTGTGTGTGTGTGCTTAAAATGCTAAAATATGTCAACCTTTTAAGGCTGAAAAACTCAGTGAATCAACATTTCTAGTTGGCCAGCATGTTATGGTAAAAATAATCATGTAATAAAATAATGATAATTCTTGGGTAAAGGAATCATTAAAAAAATGGAGTTTCAATAAAACAGAGTATGGAAAATAAACATAGCTTTAGATTCTACACTGCAATTATCTTTAAGAAACTAGAATTGGGAGGCTGGAGAGATGGTTCAGTTGCTAAAGTGGTTGTTATTTGAGCAAGAAGACCTAAGTTTGTTTGTTTGTTTGTTTGTTTTTCAAGACAGGGTTTCTCTGAGTAGCTCTGGCTGTCCTGGAACTCACTGCAGACCAGGCTGGCCTCAAACTCAAAGAGATCCACCTGCCTCTGCCTCCCAAGTGCTGAGATTAAAAGCGTGCACCACCACCCAGCTAAGAAGACCTAATTTACCCATCCTCAGCACCTGTATTCTAGATAGACCCAGACATGGCAAAACTGCCTGTAATTCCACCATGAGGGAAGTGGGGACAGGAACATCTCTGGACCTTGCTAGCCAACCAGTCTAGCTGAATTGACAAGCTCCATGTTAAGTGGAAAGACTGCCTCAAAAATAAGCAAGAGATGGCAAGATGGCTCAGTGGGTAAGCACAAAGCTAACCACCTGAATTCAGTCCCTGGAACCCACATGGTAAGAGAGAACAGGTGTCTTGAAGTTGCCCACAAACACACACACACATGCACACGTACAATTTGCAGAAGTTTAACAAATAGTGATAGTGGTCAGGAAGGCAGCTAGCTGATGCTGACCTCTGGATGCATGTAAATGTCATACACGTATGGTATAGAAAGGAGTATACACACACAAAGGGAAATGGGTGCTTAAAAGCTGATCATGGTAGTTAAGTGCCTAAAATCTTATCATTCAAGAGGCACAAGCAGGAGAGTCCCCAGTTGGGGGCAAGTCTAGAATGCACAGTAAGAGACCCTGTCAAAAAGAGGGGCGGGGAGCCAGTACATGTGTTAGTATCAAAGACTATCTAGAAGAATAAAAATGTTACTCAAATCCTCTTCTTTCTCCTAGCTATGTACCTGCAGTTGGATTTTCTTTACATAGCTCAGCCAAGACGCACTGGCTCAGATTAAATGCAGTAGCTATGAAAATAGAACTGTCTTCTGTTAAGTCATACTTAGCAGAGTGGCAAATGGGTAAAAGTAACGATGTCCTTCCTATTTGGGGGAAGGGAGTAGAGAAGAGCTTATTCTTAATATGCAATAGCTTCGTTACTACTTTTAAATGGTTTCTCATGTGGAAACTGATATATAACCCATATAAATAGGAGCTTTTGAGGGGATGGCCCTTAATTTTTGTATTGTGGGAACATGCTGCTGGGACTCAACCAGGGCCCTGTCTATGCTCCTGCTTTGTCCCCAGAAGATCACAAGTAAATTCAGAGACTAAAGGTTTGATAAATACTGTTTAGAATGTTGCAAAACTCAAGATGGGTCAAAAACAAAAACAAAAAAAACAGGCTGGCTGGGAAGCAGGCTCAGCCAGTACAGAGCTTGCTGTCTTAGTATGAGGACCCGAGCCTCAACTCCTCAGAACCCATGAGAAATATCCAAGCAGTCATTGAGGTTAAAGACAGGCAGCAATCCACTGCCATGGAGATAAAGACAGGCAGCTCCTGGGGGCTTACCAGCCAGCCAGTCTAGCCAAATTTGCAAGCTATGGGTTCAGTGAGAAACTCTGTCTCAAAAAATTAAGTGAGGAGTTATTGAAGAAGTTCCCCAACTCTGACCTCAAGCCTCCACACATACAGGTATTTATATACATGGATATGTGCACACACAGACACTTCAAATGAAATTTAAAAATCAGTATAGTTACTCTTCAATGTTTTTCCTTCTAGATGGTGATGGAAGGTGGGGACTGGCTCGTTGGTGGAGACCTGCAGGTGCTGGAGAGAATAAGGTGGAATGATGGGCTGGACCAATACCGCCTGACACCGCAGGAGCTCAAACAGAAGTGGAAAGACATGAATGCGGGTATGTAATCCAGTTCCAGTACACTGGAACTGGATTAGCACTGTGGTCAAAAGTTTAAGTGTATCAAATGGTTTTTTGTTTTTATTTTTTTTTATATAGGGCTTGGCATGAATTCCTAATGTAGCCAATGATAATACTGAACTCTTGATCCTACCCGTGCTCCCAAGTGCTGGGATTACCTGTATGTGCTACCATGCCTGGCTGAATCACCATTAAAAAAAAAAATACATCTTACTCTTACTTTTAATGGTGTGTTGTGTGGGTGTCTGTGTGGGTGTATGTCATGTATGGGTGGGCGCCAGAGGGGTCAGATTGCCCTGGGGCTGGAGTTCTAGATCTGCCTGACATAGATGCTGGGAATCAAACCTGAGTCCTCTGAAACAGTAACACACATTCTTAATCTTGGCACCATCTCTCCAATCTCTCCAGCCCAGCTTTCTTCCTCCTCCTCCTCTTCTTCCTCTTCTTTTTCCTTTTTTTTTTTTTTCTTCCTTCTTCCTCCTCTTCCTACTTTTCTCCTCCTCCTCCTTTTATTCTTCGTTGTTGTTGTTGAGACAGGGTTTCTCTATATGGCTTTGGAGCCTGTCCTAGAACTAACTCTGTAGACTAGGCCAGCCTTGAACTCACACCTGCCTCTGTCTCCTGAGTGCTGGGATTAAAAGTCAGCCACCACTGCCCAGCTGTTTCTTTTTGTTACATGTGATAACGTCTATTGGTTTGTTTATATCACAGCTGTGCTGAATTCACATACAGAACACTTATGCAGCAGCTTAAAATAGGCAGGTGCAGAATAATTGCTAAAGTTCATCCATTAAGTGCAAAAGCAGACTGCACGCACTCGTACACACACACACATACATCACACACAAACACACAACACACTCATACACCCATACACATACACACACACTCATACACACACACACTCATACACATATACAGTCATACACACACACTCACATACACACAAAAACACATCACACAAACACACACACACACACACACACACACACACACACACACACACACACACCACAGGCATATTTTTGAAAACAAGAAGGTTGGAAAGAAAAAAGAAGACCTATAACCGACTTCTCCACAAAGGACTCTGGGAGGGCCACACTGCCAGTGACACTGCCTGCCTCTTGGGGTGTGCAGCAGAACAAGAAAGGAAACCTTTTTGTTTTTCATTCTATACATTTTGAGAGAACTGAGATTCTTACTTTAGGCTTTTATACAATTCTAAGTTCTCTGCAATGATTATATATTATTTTAGAGCCAGAACAAAATAAGACTTCATGAACCCATCACAAGTGCAATTGTTCTCATCTGTGGATTGTGGGCCCCCATGCACTCTGTGCTCTACCTATATGCATGCTCTCATCAAGACGAGCCTGTAACGGTGCAAGAGCACTGGTGTTTCAGAAAGTATGTAGACAGCGCCTGCTTTAGTTCCTGAGGCGTGTTTTCTCCTGTGTGACTTCTGCCTCTGCATCCCACCTTATCCAAGCAACTGACCAGTGCTAATGGTGTTGGATTAACATCCCTAACCACTTAGGCACGTTCTCAAACTATCAAGACTTAGCAGACTGAATGGGGGAACTGAACAACACAGTGCTTCATCTTTACCCATCTGTCCTTATGGACAGGCAACGTAGCTCACTTTGAACCTTGGATTTTCCTTTCTAGATGCTGTGTTTGCATTCCAGTTGCGCAATCCTGTCCACAATGGTCATGCTCTGCTGATGCAGGACACCCGCCGCAGGCTCCTGGAGAGGGGCTACAAGCACCCAGTGCTCCTGCTGCACCCTCTGGGGGGCTGGACCAAGGATGATGATGTGCCGCTGAACTGGAGGATGAAACAGCATGCAGCCGTACTGGAGGAAGGAGTCCTGGATCCCAAATCAACTGTTGTTGCCATCTTCCCATCTCCTATGTTGTACGCTGGTCCCACAGAGGTGAGCAATTCCCTGAGCTGGGTAAAGGTCTAAGAAAACAGCCTGAAACTTTATTTACAAAATTAAATGTTGTGAACTCACTCTTGATGAGCCGACTCTACAGCCTTCAAGTTACTCTTTCCCCCATCCCAGCTTACCTTTTTCAATGTTTGTAAGGACGCTAGCATCAAGTCCTACGTAAACACATTGCTTGAACAATGTGGGGGTAAGCATGCGGTTGAGGGGGGTAGGTAGCACAGCTCACCTGGAGTTATAGGGCAAGAAGTATTTAACCGTGTTTCCTTCCTGTTGTTGTGATAAAACACCATAGCCACGGCACCCTGGAGTTTATGTGGGCTTATGGTTCCAGAGTGATGAGTCTATCACAGCTGGGAAGCATGGCAGCATGTGGCAGGCTTGGGGACAGGAGCAGGAAACCCACCCCTAGTGACACACCTCTTCCAGCAAGGCTGTACCACCTAAACCTCCCCAAACGGTGGCACCAAGTGTTCAAATGCCTGAGACTAAAGGGGACTTTCCTCATCCAAACCACCACACCAAGCTAACAGTTTATTATTTCTAAGGACTCTGTGTGCTTCACCATGCCCCAGCAACTTCTTAGAAAGGAGAGGTATCTTTACAAGGCAGCAGCATCATCCTATCACAGTGAGCCCACTAGTGGTCCCTCAATAAGAGCTGTGCTGTGTGCTGTGATGCAAAGGATCGTGATTAATCCTTCCAACTGCCCCTAACCGAGTTTAATGAATGAATTCTCTTCAGTTGTATCCAGACCTTCCTACTCTCCTCCCACCCTTTGTATTGTTGCCAGAACTTTAAATATGGCAAGTATGCTGAGCGGGAATCAATACTTACATATGAAAGGTAATTAGTTCATTACTGGCAGCCAGATGCTGGCTTAAGAGTCTTTAATATCCCTTAAATTTTAATTTGTCTGAAGACAAGAACATGTAGTTTGAAGTCCTTTCTAACAATAAGTATTCCTGGGCTGCTTGCTTTATGGAGAGATTAAAAGCTCCTGTCCCACCCAACACAGCCCAGCTTGAAAAGTGCTCAATCAAGGTTTAGGGCTTCATTGCTTTTAGTCCACCTGCCTTTCTGAATTACTCTGAAAGCAAAAGTAATTGCCATAAAGAGGAACATGTGGACTTGGGTCCCAAATGACCATCATGACCCTGTGTGACTGTTTCCCAGGTCCAGTGGCATTGCAGATGCCGGATGATTGCAGGGGCCAATTTCTACATCGTGGGCAGGGATCCGGCAGGAATGCCCCACCCTGAGACAAAGAATGACCTCTATGAGCCTACCCACGGAGGCAAGGTCTTGAGTATGGCCCCTGGCCTCACCTCTGTGGAAATCATTCCATTCCGCGTGGCTGCCTATAATAAAACTAAAAAGGCCATGGACTTTTATGATCCAGCAAGGTAGGTTTCAAGAGAAGATTTTAATTGGCATGACAATTGGCTTGAGGCAAAACTCTGACCCTCTGGAAGTCTCCAGTCTGCATGTTCCCAATTGGAAAAACACTCCCTTGAGAGTTAAGACCCATTCTTGCACACGCTGTGCCCCAACATCATAGCAGAGCCCTCACTTGCAGTTCTTGGTCCATAAAGATTTCTCTTTGGTCTATGGATGTGGATGGTTTACGGATAGAACACTTGCTTAGCCATGTGCACAGCACTGGGCTTGATCTCCAGCACACACACAAAAACTTCAACTGGGCATAGTTGCACATGCACAAGGGAGGCAGGGGCAGGGTGACCAAAATTGCACCGTTACCTTTGGCTATATCAAGGTTTAGGCCAGGCTGGCCTATATGAAACTCCAAGACAGTAACAAAATTGTTCCTTTCCACACTATGAACACCTAGCATTTTAAGGACATACCATAAAGAAAGATTTCAGTGAGCATTTATGGTGCGTTCATGCCCCATACTAAATTCACACAAGATAAATCTCTGGCATGAAGATATGAGAACAGGTGTGCAAGACCTGAAAAGACGTCTGCCTTATTCCTCTTTTGTTCTGTGAGATTCTGAAGACAGACAACTGCCCATCTTAAAACATGCAGCTGTGTGCAGAGAAAGCCTGTAAACTAATCCTAGGGAACTTCAGGTCAGCTGTTACTCACCTCCACTGAGTTCTCTGTTGCTGTACCATGACAGGCATGACCAGTTTGACTTCATCTCGGGAACTCGTATGAGGAAGCTGGCCCGGGAAGGACAAGACCCCCCAGATGGCTTCATGGCTCCCAAAGCATGGAAAGTGCTGACAGATTATTATAGATCTCTGGAGAAGATCAACTAAGTATCCCTGGTTCTGGTCTCTCAGAAATGCTCTTCTATTAACGATTTTTTTTTTCTATTTTTGTGATTAAATGCTTTGTATCCAATTGCTCCTCGATGACTAATTTTAAAGTTAGAATTTTGTAAGGAGGTAAAAAGTTGTGCCTATAATTTAAAACCAACTTTGTTATGTATATGAAAGCCACTGGAGACTAAACTTTAGGTAAACATTGTTCCAGAATGAAAGCGGTTGTATTTGACTTCATCCTAGCAGTTACATGTCAGATTTCTTGAAAACGTGACCATGTCTAGTTGACTTGCCCAAACAGAAGCATACTTAACTTTGCCAAGCTGGAACTTACTGGAAGTAATAATGTCACTTACCAGAAGTAATAAACCATACCAACAACCTCTTCTGTGTAACTGACAAAAAAAAAAAATTGTCAGCCTGAAGGAAATGTGGCTCACATCAGGATTTTTTACCTCATGACTATCAATTCTTGCTGTCCAAAGTATGAGTTGAAGATAAAACTGGAAGAAACATGTATGAAGATGTGAACTCTTAAAAAAGAAATATGCAACTTACTTGTGTTGTGAAAATGACAGTCTTGCAGGAAGAAAAGTTCTAGAGGCTTTCTATGAATGGTAACTCCAGTATGGTGGCACTTTCCAGTAGTGTAGTGTGCTTTGATGAAAAGAATGTCTCCCAGGGGCTAATTCTCAATTAGAGAATTCTGTAGAAAACTACATTCCCCACACTTTGCTGTGGCCATAGTTATCTTAAAGAGGCATCTATCTGATCTCAGCTGTAACCAAAATTGACCTGCATATTAGACTGTTGGTTTCTTCAGAAAAGGTAAAACCCAAACCACATCTGAATGCACGGAGGTGATACATAAGCTCTGAGAGCTGCTGAGCACCGTGACACACAGAATGGCCATTATCAAACTCTGCTGACACTGAGCGCCCAGACCACCACACTCCTAAGCTAGGTCCCTGTCTACATTAGACAACACAGGAGCTGGTTCTGATTCCTTGAAGCTACTTACCGAAGCTCTCCAGGAGAATGCTAAACAGCGATCTTAGATCGGAAACATTCAGGGTATCCCAAACTCTTAATGTTACAAGTTTCCAGACTGCGCCTGGTATGAGAAATCTCTTGTTTTATTTTTTAAAAGGTAATTCTTGTATTTTTATTCATGGTTGCCAAGGAAAACATAACAGAAAAACATTTTACATACAGGTTTCTCTCCAAGAGACCACAAACTGAAAAGAGAAACTGATTTTTTTTAACCATACTGCCAGTTTTTTAAAAACGCTAATAAAAGCTCTTTTGAGAGTAAGTTACATACAGTCTTCAACTGTATAGTGCCTGTGCTCTTTCTATCACAGCTACTCACTGCTGCCTCTAAAACTATGTGTTCACTGAGAACATGACATTGTAGTGCCTTACCAAATGAATAAAGTTTGTGATTTCTAAAGACACAGAAAGCTGCCCTTTCTCCTCTAGTACCACAGTTAGTGTAACTGTTTCCTCATCCAACTGATGCTTGTTCTTACTTCAATAAATCTCTCAAAGATCAGGCAAGTCCTCCTGTCTTGGAATGCTGAATACTGGCTAGCTACCATGGTTATTGATGGGGGTCATGACATTGAAAGCAGTTAACTCTTTAGCACTTTATTAAGAAGCAATTCGTCATTATTCATGTCATTTTCTAACTTGAACTTCAGATGCAAATGACTCATGATCTTAGCTGGGCACTTGCTTTTCAGAGGTGACTGGGTTGCTTATGACTCTGTTCAGAATCCACTGCAACACAATCTAAGGTGATGAATCCAAAGCCCTTGTTTTCATAGAAATGGATCTTATTTTCAGAATTTCCCCAGCTTTACCAACAGGCTTAAAAATAATCAGGTATACATTTCTCCCTCAACAGTCCCAATAACTGCACTAACCTTAGCAGCTGGTACCTGTGTGCCTAAGGCAGTACATTTGCACCCATACCCTCAGTGACCTTCAGGCACACAGCTATTGTTTCTTCCTAAATGCTTGATTTATTCCTAATGGTGTCGTACATTTTTTAGTTGTGGTGCAATAGACAACTCAAAGCTAGAGATGTGGCTCAGTTGGTAGAGCGCTTGCCTAGCATGCATGAAAGCCTGGGTTCGATTCCCAGAACCCAGGTACAGTGGCATATACTTGTAATTCAGGCATTTGAGAGGTGGAGACAGGGAGATCAGAAGTTCAATGTTTCTTTGGCTACACAGTGAGTTTGAGACCAGCCTGGGCTACAGGGATCCAGTTTCAAAAATAAATAAATAAATGGTGCCATGTATGGCTCCTTTTGTTTTCTCCCCAGATCTTACTTGATGGCTCCTATTAGTAATTAGCAGGGCAAAGTAGGCCAAAAAATATGTCCATGCATGTATCAACATGCAAGGTCATGGCTTTCTTTAGGAAATGTGAACAAATCCTAGAAAGGCATACATCAATCATTTTGTCACATCTTACATCAATATTTACCAGACCCTAATACTTCTTTCCAACCCAAGAAACAAATCTTTGTTCCTCAAGAACAGCAAATTTGCAATTTTGCATTCAGGAAGCAGAGACATGCAGTCTCTTTAAGTTCGAGGCCAGCCTGGTCTACAGAGCAAGTTCTGGGACAGGCTCCTGTCTCAGGAAAAAAAAAAAATGTAGTTTCATTCCCTCATTTTCCTCTTTTCTATTAGGCGTCTGAGTCTAGTAAGCATTTATATTATATATAACTGTTCTTCTAAGCAGGAAATCAGTGACTCAGACAAGATAAGGTTCCCTAAAGGTTTAAGGGAACTGCCAACTTTTGAATGACTCCTATCTCATAGCTCCATGGCTGATAAACAGGCAAGGCTAGAGAACTACAGGGATACTGCAAGAGTAGCCACTAATCTCTCCCAACCCTAGCATCCATGTAGTTCCTTGGTGAATACAGTTTTATTGGGTCACACACAGAACACTGTTACCAAATGGAGATGGTATTCAAGTAACTCACGGTATGCATTCCAAAATACTAATTTTGGCTTATACTGTAATTTTACTTAAATTATCAAAAATGAACGGGCTACTTGCCAGGTTCTACAAAGGGGAGAAAAACGAGGCTAGCAAATCACAAAAACTCTTCATTTGGAGGAAAACAGTGAGGCAAACTTGGCCTCACGTTGGCAGTACGGTGCAGGAAGTGGACTAGTGTGGATACAGTGTGTGAAGCTAGCTGTGCACCTGCCTGAAGGGAGACTTATGCAGGGTGAGGATAATTCAGGCAAGACTCAGACAACAGTGTACCTGCTGGGGTGGACTGGATCTAGAAACACACCACCTACAGCAACCTGGTGGGCTACAATTCCCTCCTTTGGATTTTGTCAAGAGCATGTCAGGAGGGTGTGCTAGATGCCTTGTGTGTTCTCAAGATGACTGGAGTCTGTCTACCTTTTAGAATTAAAAACAAATGAGAACCAAATATCTGAAGGTGTAACCCAAACTCCTCCCAGCTCAAAACAAACAAGATCAAAAGGCTGATGTCTGGGTAAGTAGGGGCTTGGCTAAAACCAGTCAATTCCTTCAGTTAATGCTTCAGCACAGCTCCAGGGCAACCAGGAATACAAGGGACAGGCAACAACCTGCCCTTTACCCTGTCACAGAGAAGGACTTGTCCTCCCTGAAAATAAAAATTTGTACTTTACTTCATTTTCCATAGCTCTCTTATACCCAACAGATAGTTAAAAAAAAACAAAACAAAAACACTTTAACAATGAAGTTGAGTTGGGCATGGTAACCAGCACTCCAAGTTAAGGAACTTAACAGGGTCCCCTGCAGCAGTTCTTGCAACCTGCCCACAGGAAGCCCTCTCACGCTCCGCATCCCTACTTGCTATACTGCCTTTTATTTACTGTGTTGTCTGTGGCGTCTCACAAGCAGCTGGCTATGTGCCATTCTGCTTTGTCTAGCATGCTCCCCACTTTAATGCCAGTCATTTCAATAACCCAAAAAGTTCTTGGGGCAATGGGTTATTTGAAGAGTTCATGCAATCCACTGGAGGATAAAAATAAAGGCCTTGAGCAATCTTTGCTAAAAATAAAACCTATTTAGAGTTCAATATTTGGAAGCCTGGTTCTTCAGCTCCCCATTGAACCCATGAGTCCCACCTGCTTCAAATAAATTTTCTAGGTTATCTACAGTTAGTTGCTGGCAAGAGAATCCTGATTAGGTAGTCTTTATAAGTCTGACTATGGCTTAGACAAGCCTGGGAATAGGCATTAATGCCATACCACAACCCTGAGTGCCTCACGTTCTGCTAAATTCTGAAATTTTTGCATCTTTAGAACAACGTGATCTACACAATTTCTTGGTTACAACTTTACATGTTTGTTATCAATCTGTTTTAGTTTGGTTTAAAACTGAGCCAACATGCTGGGTATATGGCACTAGGGAAACTGAGGCAGGAGGTGCCTAAGTTTCAGGATAACCCAGGAGACCCTATCTCAAAACTAAACACCTGAGCTGCCATGGTTTACACACCCGTGTTCTAGATGGATCCCACCCAGTGCACTAACATTCACAAAAACTAAAACGTCTCAAAGCAGATTTGTTTTTATTTGTGTGTGTGTGTGTATGTGTGTGTGTGTGTGTGTGTGTGTGTGTGTGTGTGTGTGTCATGTGGTGCAGGTGCTTGCAGAAGCCAGCAGAGGGCCTTGGACTCCTTGCAGCAGGAGTTAACAGAAAATTGTAAGGGAGGGGATTGGGTGCTGAAAATCAAACTTGGAAGAGCAGAAAAAAAAAAACTCCTAATGGCTGAAACATCTTTTCAGTCTCCTCAAAAAGAGGTTCAGAACTAAATATTAGACACTCATAAAAAACACTCCCCCTCCTCAGAATTTTAGTAATGATACTCTTATTGGACATTAATATAAATAATGCAACATTTACCAGGTTTGCTAGGATATTTTTAATTCACATTGTGAAATGATTTCCTTTTGATTTGATTTCATTTGCATGCAGTGACTCTTATACACAGTAGTTACATTTTAGTCAATTCAGTTAGAAGATTGTTTCATATGGTTCAAGTCCTCTTGAATATGATTCCAAGAGCACACTGACTGATGCAAAATTTTTAAAATGATGTTTTAGTGCGTGTGTGCGTGCATGCGTGTGTGTAGGTTGGTACATGTGAGAGCAGGTGCCCAGAGAGGCCAGACGCAATGGACTCCCATAAAAATGGAAGTATAGGCTACTGTGAGTGGCCTGACATGGGTACTAGGAACCAAACTCAGGTCCTCTGCAAGAACAAGCAGTCCATGCTCATAACTACTACATCGCTTCTCCAGACCTCTGAGCAGAAGTTTTCCAGTACATAAAGGATTCTGTAGCTTTCAGG